TGAGGGGTCACGCAATGCTGTACATTAATTAAATTCATGTCTCACAAATAGAGCTTTCTTTCGGTGGTATTTGATCACCTGTGCATTATTTTTTGCGCTATAAACAAAAAAAAAGACAATTGAAAAAAAAAAAATATATATATTTTTAGACTTTTTGCAATAAAACATATCCAGTAAAAAAATGTAAAAAATCAAACTTTGTCATACATTTAGGTCAAATCCTATTCTGCTACATGTATCCCAATACATGTAAATTAACTGGTTTACGTGAAAATTATAGCGTCTACAAATGGCAGTATATCTACTTGAAGTTTTATTTTTATTCTTTTTTATACTAGTAATGGCGGCGATCAGCAACTTATAGCGGGACTGCGGCTGCCATTCTGACACTGGGTGGGAACTGACTAACTGCCACTGACATCCTAATGACAAGAATACAATGATCAGTGCTAATAAAAAACACTGACACTGTACTAATGACACTGGGAAGGAAGGGGTTAACAGCTGGTGTGATCAATGGGTGAACTGTGTGTTGTTTTTACTGTATGTGCTGTGTGTGTTTTACTAGGGAAACATGCTGTTGTATATTTGCAGTGAGGAGAAATACACAGCAGCATGTTATAGTTGGCAGGAGACAGACCTGTGTTGTTTGCACTCAGGTCTCTGCCCTGTCACTGTTTCTCGGCGATTGCCAGGTGCTGGCAGGGAATCTCTGGCCGGGGCCCGATGATCGACATTTGTAGCCACCACTGGCAGCACGCACGCCACCTACCCGGAGATGCAAAATCATTATATATATATATACACATACATACATAAACACACTGTGTGTGTGTGTGTATATATATATATATATATATATATATATATATATATATATATATATATATATATATATATACACATACACACATATATATATATATATATACATATATATATATATATATATACACACACATACATATACACACATATACACATACACACACACACGTGATTTTGCGCAGCACTGCTGCCCTATAGCATTATTTCTGCTATAGGACGATGGGGAAGCGAAGTGGTTAATAACTGGAAAGGTACCAACTGATTGGTGTTGAATAAATGTGGTACCAATACACAAAACCAGGTCAAAATCTATGGCAAGAAACTACAGATGAGTCTAACATCACTAGCAAGTAAGGTATTTGTGGGAATGATAAGGGACTCTTCAAGGAAATTTGTCTTCGATAAAGGGATCATAACTGATAGCCAGCATGGATTTCTGCAAACTGGATATTTGTACTTGCCAGTAAAATTTGTTTCTTGGAGTACATCAAGGAACACAGTGCAGGCTTAATAATCATGACCACCTGGGTTATGCGCCACCTACAGATGAATGGACACTAGCAATCAAACACAGAAGTCCTCCTCTAGATAACCCCACCTCCCCAGGGAAGCATCAGTAAGCAATACCTGCAACAGTGAGGGGAGGGACCTATGTGCCCCATGATGTACTCCAAGAAAGGGACTTTACAGGTAAGTATGAAAATCCAGTTTTCTTTCTTGTACATCACAGGACACAGATCAAGTTTAATAATCATGACCACCTGGGATGTCCCAAAGCACTGCTCACAAGGCGAGGGAACAGCCACCACTTCCAGGCCCACAGCTACACAACAGCCCTCAAGAAACTGGGACCACAGCTTCCTCAGCGGCAGTTAAATCCATCTTATAAAAATTTAAAAGCTGTGAATAGATGCCCAGGTAGCAGCCGTGCATACCTGCCTCACTAAGGCTTGATGACGGATGGCCCAAGCAGCCCCTACACTCTTGGTGGAGTGAACCATCACATGAAATGGTGGATTCTTACCTTTCAAGCCAAAGTCCTAAGCAATCATCTGCCGAATCGAACTTGAAATGGCTTACAATTCCTAGAACCTTCTGAAAGGACAAAGAATCTGACTGCCTTATTGCACCAGAGGATTTCAAATACACGGCCTACACCACATCCAATGTGTGAAGAGTCTTGTCCCTTGGCGACAGAGGCCGAGGAAAATGATGGCAAGACAATGTCCTGATTAAGATGAAAGGATGATACCACCTTTGGCAAAAACAACTTAACAGGACGAAGAATCACCATGTCCTTATGGAGCACCAGAAATGGCTCTCTACAAGAGCTGCCAGTTCTGACAACCTCCCTGCTGAGCGAATAGGAACCAGGAAGGCAACCTTCCCGGTCAAAAGCACCAGAGGAACATCCTGGATTGGTTCAAATGGAGTCCTTTGCAAGACTGACAAATCCATAATTACGAATTGAGGCGTGGAGCATAGGGTTTGTACATGGATATATAACTGGTCACAGGGGCACATACAAAGGGTGGTGATAAATAGCATGTACTCAGAATGGTCAGGAGTGATAAGTGGGGTACCCAAAGGCTCTGTCCTGGAACCTATGCTGTTACATTATTCATAAACGACCTTCAGGTTGGTACACGTAGCTCAATCTCAGCGTTTGCTGACAATATAAAGCTAAGCAGGGGATAACTTCACAGCAGGCTATAGAAACCTTACAGCATTAAAAACGCTTCCCAAACGCCTGTCTGAAGCCTGCGGACAAAGCTAGTGTGAACTGAGCATTCCTCTGTTGTACTCCGTGGTATATATTTCCCCTTTTGTAGGGAATATATAGACTGTCATATTCAACCCTTGAATAAAAGACAATCCACATGGAAACAAGAATGAAGGCAAAATGGAGTACCAAGATGGCCACCGTTATGGCGGCGTGACGTCAGCAAGTGCGGCTCCATCCGACGTGTTTCGTGCGCATGCATGTACCCCTGAAGAGGTGCATGCGCACGAAACACGTCGATGGAGCCGCACTTGCTGACGTCATGCCGCTGTTCCAACCTTCAGCAACGGCAGTGTGCAGTCCGCAAGTGCAGCTCCACCCAACGTGTTTTGTGCACATGCACGTCTTCAGGGGTACATGCATGCGCATGAAACGCGTCGGGTGGAGCCGCACTTGCTGACGTCACACCGCCATTGCCAAAGGTCGGAACGGTGGCCATCTTGGCACTCCATCTTACCTTCATTCTTGTTTCCACGTGGATTGTCTTTTATTCATTTTTTAAGAAATACTACACTATATACTACTTTTGGCTCCTGTGGTGAGATATTCCTCATAGGAGAGGGTTCACCTGCGTTTTTTGCCCTTGGCTGAGCATCCCTTGCAGAGGCTTCATTGCTGTTACCTGTACCCAGATGAGATGTACTTACATGCTGTTTACCAGTAGATGTCTGGGGAGTGTACATCTGACAGAGGTGATGGATTCCCTATTGGATCACTTCACAATATTTCACCGTGATTGCCGTACTGATACCCTTACGGACAATTTATAGCTCTTACTCCACTGATATTTTATGGACTTTATATATTCTCACTTTTATGCCGCACTTTACTGTTTCACATTTATTGAATGATTTATTGAACATTTTGACTTTGCACTTTATTTTCACTATATCACTTATTTTAGCGCTGCACTTTCTATATATTTAGTAAGATGGGCTCTAAATAGTTTTTCAGATCTTAAAAGGAAACAAAAGAAGTTTATTATTGAATGACTTAAAGTGTTACTAAACCCAGGACCCTGTATTCACTATATCTGGTCTCCCACAGTACATACAACATGGAAATGCAATTATTTTAGTAAATATAAACTGCTAAATACCTTTTCTTAGCAGTATATAGCAGTCTTGTGACATCAGAAGAGCTCTGGTTAAACCTTGTATTAGGAGTTTTCTTTCTGCTCTAGCAGGAAGCAAAAGACCTGACCCTCTGTCTGGACAGTGCTGATTGGCGCTGTGCTGATCACATGCACTCTCCCAAGGAAAAAAAGCCTCTCTAGCAATACACACTAAACTGGCATGTGCATGTGCCTACGGGTTCAGTCTGTTTTATCAGGTGGACATTTGAACAGGAGGAGGGGCAGAGAAAACAGGACCAGTCTTTTTACACAATGCAGAGGATTAACCCCTTAGGTTCCACAGTGAGTATATCAAGAATATTTTACTGCATATTCAGACTGATTTTACTGTTGTGGGTTTAGCAACACTTTAAGTAACTCATAATTACTTCTGGTATGGATGGAAGTATTACCAGCAAATGGTAGGCAGTGCAATGGGAGCTAAATTTGCTCCCAGTGTCGCCAATATTTTTATGTCAAATGGGAATTTGAAGACATTTTTGTTGATTGCCCCCCCTGAATTGAAGTGCTATAGGCGCTAATCTGGGAGAGGGAGTTAGCTCATATGGTTGCATTTAAGCACCGGTTTAATATGAACAATAGAAATACGATTCTGGATTGGAAGATAGAAAATAAGAGTTTCTGGATCTTTTGATTGAGAATTATGACCATTTTACTGCAAGAACTTTAAGACGTGATAGAAATGGCTATATATCTAAAGAAAGTTGTCACCATCAATCATGGCTGTTTAATATACCAAGAGGGCAATTCATTTGAATAAAGAGGAATTGTATGGAAGATACTGTATTCAAACAAAAAGCAAAAATTATTGCAAAGAGGTTTAATGATAAAGAGTTTGACAGGACAATTATTAAGAAGGAAGTAGAAAAGGTGAGAAATATGGAGAGAAGACCTCATTAAGGATAAAGATAAATTGAAGGAAAATAATATGGATATGAACACAGCTATTATTCTTGAATACAATGTTAAGCATAAGAAATTAGAAAAAAAAAAAAAAAAAAAAAAAAAATCGGCATATTTGAAGAAAGATCAGTTATTAACAGCTAAACTCCCTGAGAATTCAACATTTGTTTATAAAAAAAGCTCCCTCTTTTACCACTTGCCTACAGGGCACTTTCACCCCATTCCTGCCCATGCCAATTTTCAGCTTTCAGTGCTGTCGCACTTTGAATGACAATTACGCGGTCATGGAACACTGTAGACATATTACATTTTTATCATTTTTTGAGAAAGAGCTTTCTTTTGGTGGTATTTAATCACCTCTGGGTCTTTTATTTTTTGCTAAACAAACCAAAAACAACTAAAATTTTGAAAAGAAAAAAAAAACGTTATTTTAGTTTCTGTTATAAAAGTTTGTAAATAAGTTATTTTTCTCCTTCACTGAAGTGTGCTAATGAGGCTGCAGTGATGGGCACTGATAGGCTGCAGTGATGGGCACTGATGAGGAGGCACTGGTAGGTGGCACTGATGGGCATTGAAAGGCATCACTTATGGGCCCTGAAAGGCAGCACTCATATGGCACTAATAGGTGGCACTGACTGGCACTGTTAGGCGGCACTGACTGGCACTGTTAGGCGGCAGTGATTGGCAGCACTGATAGGTGGCACTGAATTGCAGCTCAGATGGGCACGGATATGGGACATTGATGTGCACTGGTAGGCACGGATATGTGGCACTGGCAGGTGGCATTGATGGGCACTGACAGGTGGCATTGATGGACACTGCCAGGTGGCACTGATGGGGCTACACTGATCATCAGGGCCCACTGATCATCAGTGCCCTGATGATCAGTGTACATGTCTCCTCTGAGGAATGCCGATTACCGGCTCTCCTCTCCTCACGAGCTGTCAGAGTGGCAGCTCATGAGGAGAGGAATGCCGATAACTGGCATTTCCTTATTTATATGTGATCAGCTGTGATTGGACACAGCTGATCACATGACAGAGCCGATGTCATCGGCTCTCTCTGTTGATCGGTGATCTGCTGTGTCCCGATGTAACAGAACCAGACCCCAACTGCACTAGAGTATTTCCATTAGACTCCCGCTTCCCTGTCCGAACACCGACCACGGACCCCACCGCTGACCAAACAAGAGTAGAGACCACCAGACTTGAAGGAAACCAGGAAATAGACTGATTTATTTTAACACAGACACAAGATATATAAACATTCAAGGGAACAACCCACCTCCCTGCATATGGACACAGGGTGGGGAAAACCAAATCTAGCAACCAGTGACATCAGCAGACACCCGCCACCAAGCCAATACACAAACACATACATCCCATAATAGTTTGCTCCCAAGCAAGACATACAATAGAACAATGGGATGCACCACATGGCAGTAAACAATGAACAACCACACCCCACCTATACATGTCTACGCAATATCAGGACATTCCATCCTGTACCCCTAACAGGCACAGGGTGACATACACACAGGAGGGATATAGGGAGCTAAGACAGGGGTCTCCCCACCCCTCCAAAGTGAGCTGTGTTCCATGGGCCCCCAACCAAAGTCACTCCCGTCACATATCTCCACTTTTGGCAGGAGACTAAACCCCGGAGGGGTGGACTCCGAAGTTAGTCTGTACTTCCAGTCCCCCAATGCCAGCACCCACACAGTACCCCAAACAAATTGTCCCACACAAAGCATTACTCACCCAGCCAACCTCTGCCTCGCTCGTAGAACATACCCGCCTCTGGGGAGAAGGACGGGATGGTCCTTCTCCCTGAAATCCTCTCAGCCGCTGGAGAGAAGACAGGGTGGCTGGGCTGACTCCATCATGCTGTGGGGGATCTGGGCCAACTGCCCAGCATCCCTGGGGTATTCAGATGGTGATTGTAATTGCTAGGCAGAGGCCAGTGGCGCTCTGTCCTGTTGCCAGCACTTCTGCTGGGGACCCCACATCTGCTCCGGCTAACCGTAGGTGAGGGAGGCTGGCTTCCTGCACTTCCAGACTGTGGATCTGCTGCTGGGATGGCATTCCTGTCACTGTCCCCCTGGTGCACAAATCCTGGCTTGGGAGGGAAGACAGTTTCCTCCACTCTGGCCGACTGTGGGGGAGGGAGGACAACAACCTCCTCTCCCTTCTCCCCCTGGGCCTCTGAAACTACTGCAGGTGTGGGGCAGAGGTCCTGGACCCTCTGTCCGGTTGTCAGTGCTTCAGCTGGAGAAGTTTCTTCTACCTCCAAAGATGTTGGTGGCAGGAAATCCCATGTCCCTGTCAGTGGTGTAGGAGAAAGGGTGTCCACCTCTTCTCTCAGGGAGACTTAAGCTGTTGTTGGTACTGGGTAGAGCTCAGCAATGTTTGGCTCTGTTGCCAGCTCTTGTGCTGGAGGCTCGCCAGCTGGTTCCTCCTCAGCAGAAAAGTAAATCAAATCCCCAGTCTCTGGAACTGGTGTCTGGGGATAGGGGTTCACCATCTCCTGTTACCAGTGCTGGGCAGAGTTCAGTAATGTTTGGCCCTGTTACCAGCTCTTCTGCTGGAGGCTCACCGGCTAGTTCCTCCTCAGCAGATAAGTCAATCAAATCCCCAGACTCTGGAATTTTCACTGCTGATTCTTGGGCATGCTGCTGAACATGTTTTAGCAGTTGCCTGCATGCCCTTTCCAGATCCTGTTCTTTCATCAGCAGGTATTCCAGATCTGGTTCAAGCTCTGAGACCCCTGTGAGACCGTACATAGCCTCTCTGTCTTCTCACAGGTCCTCAAGGGTAGGTTCTCCTTCATTGCCAAACACAAAAAGATCTGCAAGGCTCTCCCACAGCAATCCAGGGCCACCAAAGTCATATCCCTCCAGAGAGCATTCTGTTGATACCCCTAAATATTTCTGTTCTGTGTACCATTGCAGAGCCCGATATCTGTTGTCCAGCCCTATCACCTGCTGGACCAGCCTGTCCAACTCAGTCACCCATTGCTCCTGGAGTCGCTCTCCCAGGAATGGCATCCGTAACATCCGATGATCCCTGGCCCGTGCCCCTGGGGCTGGATAGCACTTGCCCTTGTAAATACCAGCAACCTGGAGGGCTCCACTCCACAGCAGCACCCGAATCCGCTGCCTGAGCTCCAAGTACTGATCCACAGACACAGTCCTGGGGTATTTTGTAAGAACGATCCGCAGCAGCCCTGGGAACTCTGATGCCAGGTCCATATCTCCACTGGGATGACAGACGTCTCCTTTCCTGATCTTGAATCCCCATGGTGGTTTGGACGTGTTCACAGCCAGGAAGCACAATGCCACAGCTTGCCACCAATGTAACGAAACAGGACACCGACTGCACTAGGGTATTTCCGTTAAACTCCCGCTTCCCTGTCCGAACACCGACCACAGACCCTACCGCTGACCAAACAGGAGTAGAGACCACCAGACTTGAAGAAAACCAGGAAATAGACTGCTTTATTTTAACACAGACACAAGATATAAATATTCAAGGAAACAATCCACCTCCCTGCATATGGACACAGGGCGGGGCAAACCAAATCTAGCAACCAGAGACATCAGCAGACACCCCCCCACCAAGCCAATACTCAAACACACACATCCCATAATAGTTTGCTCACAAGCAAGCAACACAACAGAACAATGGGATGCACCACATGGCAGTAAACAATGAACAACCCCACACCCCACCTATACATGTGAAACTCGAAAAATTAGAATATCGTGCAAAAGTTCATTTATTTCAGTAATGCAACTTAAAAGATGAAACTAATATATGAGATAGACTCATTACATGCAAAGCAAGATAGTTCTTACAGCTCATGAAAACCCCAAATCCACAATCTCAGAAAATTAGAATATTACATGCAATCAATAAAACAAGGATTGTACATAGAACAATATCGGACCTCTGAAAAGTATAAGCATGCATATGTACTCAGTACTTGGTTTGGGCCCCTTTTGCAGCAATTACTGCCTCAATGCGGCATGGCATGGAAGCTATCAGCCTGTGGCACTGCTGAGGTGTTAAGGAAGACCAGGATGCTTCAATAGCAGCCTTCAGCTCTTCTGCATTGTTCGGTCTCATGTCTCTCATCTGTCTCTTGGCAATGCCCCATAGATTCTCTATGGGGTTCAGGTCAGGCGAGTTTGCTGGCTAATCAAGCACAGTAATCCCACGGTCATTGAACCAGGTTTTGGTGCTTTTGGCAGTGCGGGCAGGTGCCAAGTCCTGCTGGAAAATGAAGTCAGCATCCCCATAAAGCTCGTCTGCGGAAGGATGCATGAAGTGCTCCAAAATCTCCTGGTAGACGGCTGCGTTGACCCTGGACTTAATGAAGCACAGTAGACCAACACCAGCAGACAGATGACATGGCTCCCCAAATCAACACAGACTGCGTAAACTTCACACTGGACTTCAAGCATCTTGCAGTTTGTGCTTCTCCATTCTTCCTCCATAATCTGGGTCCTTGGTTCCAAATGAGATGCATAAGTTGCTCTCATCAGAAAAGAGAACTTTGGACCACTGAGCAACACACCAGGTCCGTTTTTCTTTAGCCCAGGTAAGACGGCTTGACAAGAGGAATACGACATTTGAAGCCCATGTCCAGGATCCGTCTGTGTGTGGTGGCTCTTGAGGCACTGACTCCAGCCTCAGTCCACTCCTTGTTAAAGTCCCCAACACTTTTGAATGGCCTTTTCCTGACAATTCTCTCCAGGCTGCAGTCATCCCTGCTGCTTGTGCACCTTTTTCTTCCACACTTTTCCCTTCCACATAACTTTCTATTAATGTGCTTTGATACAGCACTTTGGGAACATCCAACTTCTTTTGCAATTACCTTTTGAGGCTTTCCCTCCTTATGGAGGGTGTCAATGATGGTTTTCTGCACAACTGTCAGGTCAGCAATCTTTCCCATGATTGTGATTCCTACTGAACCAGACTGAGAGACCATTTAAAGGCTCAGGAACCCTTTGCCGGTGTTATGGCTTAATTAGATGATTAGAGTGGGACACTTTGAGCCGAGAATATTGCACCTTTTCACAATATTCTAATTTTCTGAGATTGTGGGATTTCATGAGCTGTAAGACATAATCATCACAGTTATGACAAATCACGGCTTGAACTATCTTGCTTTGCATGTAATGAGTCTCTCATATTAGTTTCACCTTTTAAGTTGCATTACTGAAATAAATGAACTTTTGCACGATATTCAAATTTTTCGAGTTTCACCTGTATAGGTCTTCACAATATCAGGACCTTTCACCCTGTACCCCTAACAGGCACAGGGTGACTTATACATAGGAGGGATATGGGGAGCTGAGACAGGGGTCTCTCCACCCCTCCAAAGTGAGCTGTGTTCCATGGGCCCCCCACCCAAAGTCACTCCCCGTCACACCAGGGGACACAGCGCACCACCAATCAGCATGCACGGTTAGAGGGGGAGGACGTCATATGGCATCCTCCCAGAACGAAAGAACCACCTTGCACCCGTCATTACCTTAAATGGCAGGCGGGAAGAGGTTAAAAAACAAAGTGGTGAGATCAGTCTTAGATCCTCCTAAACCCGTGACCTTCGATTTCTCTGGAATTGAAGGATTCACAACCTGTCAAAAATGTTATGCATGTAAGGCATCAAAGGTGAATCCAAGGAGAAGAAAGAATTTCAAAGTGATGGTCACAGGTGAAATTAGAATTAAAGATTTTATTATATGCTGTGCTTCAGAAGGGGTAGTGTATATGATCGAATGTTACTGTGGACTTCAGTATGTAGGTCGAACATCAGAAA